TGTGCATCGAAACGTGCAATAAAATTAATAGAGTAACTCTCTCTCGTTTGGAGGTTAGTTTTTGAGAAAATCGAATTTGAAAATTCGCCTTGCGTTATCGTGGATGGTAGTAGAAGTTCGAGTTCCAGAAACCCATTAGCCGGTGAATCTCTATCTGGCCAGGACGCGTATGTGAGAAGGTATATATGCGTATATATGCGTATATACAGGGTGTCCACGAAGAATTTGCATCGGACCTATCACTAGGTGATTTCGATGACTTTTGACAAAAATTTTGACAACGAAGTCTTTAATATTTTGGACTAAAGCGTAAAGTCACATATGTTCGCTTTCGAAATATTAAAATACTTCGCGCTTCGAATACGTTATAAATTATAAAATTAATAAATAATTAATGCAGCTGCAAACTGGATCTAGCGATTCAATTTTTCGCGATTTTGTAATAATACAAAATAAATAATAAAATCGTCGTGGCCACAGACTTCGACCATTTTCAAAATTACGTATGTCACCTATGTTCGTGAATAACGTGCATGAAGTATTAAAAGAAGAGAGAAAATAGTTTATCAAGGGTATTTTGTTATGTCACTTATAAAATTATTAACACTGTCGTTTTTATCCAGAAGAGTCCAAAACGAATTTTCAAATTTGACTTTCTCAAAAGATAAGCTCTACACGAATCAAAGTTATGCTATACCTGATTTGATCATTTTTTCCCGAAGAATTACCGTAATCCCGCTTGTACGTGTCTCTCGGTGACACCCTGTATACAACGGGGAAAGAGAGGGAATACGCGAAGTTTGGATGCATGAGAGAAAGACAGAGAGTCGCTTACCGGGTATGCACAAGCTCACGAAACGTTCGGCTTATCTGCACTCGGCCGTATAGAGCGACTAAAAGCTCTGACCTATGGCAGTCGGTCGGCGATAGCCCGCGCGCATTCCTCTGCGAGTGCACCCTCTGAATGGCCCGGCTGTTCCCTCACGAACACGGCCGTGTCGCCTAGCAGTGTGTTCGTGCGCTTCCACGCATATCTGCGTGGGTTCACACGTGTTCGGACCGCGTGAGCCGCGCATACGCTCGAGCCGAGAGGATCGAGCGACTGTGCTCCAGCGACTGGCCCCTTCGCGTCTGTCCTAGGAATTTCTGCGGTGGATACGGTTTCCTTTGCTTTGCTTTTCCTCCAGACTAAGACGAATTCGTAGTTTTGGCTTCTGGCAGAAGTGGAGATTAATGGGTCGATTGATTCGTTTCGATTCAATTCGAAGCTTTGAGTTTTGTGATGGGTGGAGTCGTAGATCGATTGATTCGGTTCGATTTGATTCGAAGCTTTGAGTTTTGTGATGGGTGGAGTCGTAGATCGATTAATTCGGTTCGATTTGATTCGAAGCTTTGAATTTTGTGATGGGTGGAGTCGTAGATCGATTGATTCGGTTCGATTTGATTCGAAGCTTTGAGTTTTGTGATGGGTGGAGTCGTAGGTTGATTGATTCGCTTCGATTCGATTCGAAGCTTTGAGTTTTGTGATGGATGGAGTCGTAGATCGATTGATTCGGTTCGATTTGATTCGAAGCTTTGAGTTTTGTGATGGATGGAGTCGTAGGATGATTGGTTCGATCCGATTCGATTCGAAGCTTTGAGTTTTGTGATGGGTGGAGTCGTAGGTTGATTGATTCGCTTTGATTCGATTCGAAGCTTTGAGTTTTGTGATGGATGGAGTCATAGGTCGATTGATTCGCTTCGATTCGATTCGAAGCTTTGAGTTTTGTGATGGGTAGAACTGTGAATCGATTGGTTCTCTTCGATTCGATTCGAAGCTTTGAATTTTGTGATGGGTGGAGTCGTAGATCGATCGATTCGCTTCGATTCGATTGGAAGCTTTGAATTTTGTGATGGGTGAAGTCGTAGATCGATTGATTCGCTTCGATTCGATTGGAAGCTTTGAATTTTGTGATGGGTGAAGTCATAGATCGATTGATTCGCTTCGATTCGATTGGAAGCTTTGAATTTTGTGATGGGTGGAGTCGTAGGTCGATTGGTTCGCTTCGATTCGATTGAAAGCTTTGAGTTTTGTGATAGGTAGAATTGTGAATCGATTGATTCGCTTCGATTCGATTGGAAGCTTTGAGTTTTGTGATGGTTGAAGACGTTTTCTTTGCATTTCTTCGAGTTCGAGATTAATTCGGATCTTTGAATTTTGCGACGAGTAGAGTCGTAGATCGATTGATACAATTCGCAACAATTCGAAGCTTCCAATTTTGTGACGAATAGATTCGAACATCGATTGGTCCATTTGAAACAATCGAATTCGTCGATTATCTCGCTGATTTTGACAAAACTGAGATATTGCTGTCCCTTTTAGTTTCCAAGATATCGACAAAAATCTGTCACTACTATTGCATTACATTCTTCGCATACGTTTGTGTCTGTGAGACACTCATAATCAGCACGTGACATTTGTCGCTCAGTGGATCTGACCTAATCCAATCACGAGCCACATGTGTCTGATTGTCTAACGGATGCCTATAGAGAAGACACAATCGAATATTATAGTACTCGAAAATGAATCGTTAAATTCACCTCCTAAGGAATAATTATTACTTATTTATTTATTTAACGAGCAAAGTCCATTGAATTTCGAATCAAGACACACAACACACCTATATAGAGAGCGACACATGAAATTTGACCTAACCATAAATCCCGAAGAATGCGAATCACCCTTGCCAAAACTTGCAAATATTTCATCAAGCTCGATTTCTTTATGAATTGCACGATTGTCTTCAACGACAAACCTACCATGATTATTAAAATGAAATAATCGAAATATGGAAAAATAAAACAAGAGAAACTTCACGCAAATTGGCATAAACGAAGGTGTCAGAAAATCGACGATACTTGCACCACACCAAAAGAAAAATCGAAAAACCAAGTGACCAAAGCTCAATCAGAGCACAACTTCGATCACAGAATCTCTAATCAGACATCTAAACACGATCATTTAGGCTGTGGAAGCCTTACTATCGAAATGTCTATCGAATATCTATGGTAGCTTTACTGTCGAAGTGTCTATCGAATATCTATGCTACTGTTACTGTCGAAATCAAAGCACAGTAGCAATTTGGACACCGTTCCACTAGGTAATCACTCTTTCATGCCCATCTTCCACATACATTCCCATTTTACAACTTGCTTCTTCCATCTTACCCTTCATCTTTATAACTATCCATCCTCCATTCCTCAAACAAACAAAATCAAGTAAAATGAGTCGTTGGACAGTGGATTACTCTTTCCCGCCTGCGTTAGGCCTCTTAAAGAGTTTCAGACACTCGTCTCACACGCGATTACGTCTAAAATAGTACACTCAGGTGTCATGGAAATGTCCATCGCTATAGATTCCTGATCTTTCCTTCGGTCACGAGTCGTACGTGAATTTCGCTGATATTTCTTCACAAAATTAAGCAAAATACTCGATTGGAGAAATATTGGAAACGGAGCCAAAGCGTCCGACGAGGAAGGTATCGAAGAACGCAAACCCGCGGGGTTTCGCAAGCGTCGGGACGCCGGCATCGCGGCACGGTGCCGTACCTACGTAGCGGATGCGTGTAGGAAGCGGGATTGGTCTCGTGGCAGCGGTCGTTTCCTCCAGTTCCGTAAGTCCCGGAGAGTGGGTCGAGACGCGTTCAACGGATTGCCAGTCAGATCCAACGTCAACTCTCGTTCCTACGACACGTTCGAGTCGTTCCTAACTCTTTAGAACCTAGTCCCTACCAAGCTAACCGCGATCTCCTCTAAAACCCCAATTTTTCTCGGCCATCTTGACCGGGGTCCGTCGGTTTTAGCCTGGATGTGGAAGACGTTGGAAGATCACTCTACCACGATGAAACGTCGAAGAAAACGGCCGATTGCCGGTGATCTGTGGGCGCCCGAGTGGGCCGGTGACCACTGAATCAAGAGCCACGGCGCCCACTCATGGTCGCCCACGTCCTCGGACCAAACCTACCTCGAAGCCACGTAGGTAGTGGCGTACACGGCATTCTTTGTGTCTGTCGAGGTGTGATCCGAATATCGCTTTCGACTCCGTTCATTCAGATCTCCCGTTCTCCTTCGGC